TGTCGGATCGGGGACCAAGAGCGGAAGGGCAGCAACATAAAAGGTGAATGAAACGCTTCCATTGTTCAAAGCCTTCGAAAACCTGCAATATTTTGGACCTTGGTATTGAACGAATAGAGTTCAGTTGAAGAAGTTTCAAAATCCAGAACTTTCAAGCTAAGTACAAAATAGTACACAGTTTCTGTTATAATCTAGAGGACAACTTGGCAGAAAGATCCATAACAGACACGAAACTACAAGATTACCACAGCTTTACAAGAAATTCTCGTCAAAAGAATTATACTTTGATAGAATGGGAACGTTGATCTCAAATCTGCGTTCCCCATCTGCTGAGTGATTTACCAACGCACTCAACATGGAGGTTACTTTTGACTAAGAAGCGGATCTAGCCAAACTTAAGCTACTGCATCGTTAACAGATTAATTAAGCTTTTGGACAACAGATGAAAAGCGCACTAATCTTCATCAGAGGAATTCCTAACTTCTTCCAAAAACCGCTCAGCAGATAATGGAGGTAGCGATGAAAAAGCGTCTTAAAACGCAGCAGTTCACAACTTTTTCGAATGGGAAGGGTCACCTAGCGTATTTCCTCTCCTAGCCGCAAACGTGTAAAATTATAACATGTTCGAATCTCATTTATACTTTATCTGAATGGTAGAATGTTTTGAATGTACCAAAATCTAGTCGTTTAGTTTGCACTGTTGCAGTGCTCTAATGCAGTTGATTAGATTGTAGAAGGTGAAAAGAGCTGCTTAGAGCAGGTAAACATTAACAATTGCCATTAACGTACGTTTCTTACAGGAAACCTCCGCAAACATGAACTGATAGAAACAAGTAAAACACTCCGAGCGTAAAATTTATGAATACGTATATGCCTTATGTTTACTGTTAATCACTACTACTTTCTGCTTATCCCACGATGTCGGAATGTGAGATACAGATGTCATCATTTTTCCAACTGGAAAACACTGTTTGGCGATACAGTCATCAAGAAGCTGGGATATCAAAATAGGAAGAGATTCGGTCGAATA